AATCTTCACAATGTTATTCATAGTTTGTTTATGATCCACATAGTCAAATGCCTTTGCACAGTCAATAAAACACAGGTAAACATCTTTCTGGTATTCTCTCCTGTTAGCCAAGATCCATCTGATTAGTCATGATCATCCCTCATTCCATGTCCTTTACTGACTGAATCCAATGTGAATTTCTGGTAGCTCCCCGACAATGCACTGTTGCAGCCATTTTAAGTATCTTCAACAAAATTTTACTTGCATGTGATATTAATGATATTGTTGGATAGTTACCATATTCTGTTGGATCACCTTTCTTTGGAATGGGCACATATCTTATATTGTTGTATAATATTCAATTATAATATTCATGATTACTTTTGTTCATTCTCCGAATGTAAAACTGATTTATCATTAGGTAAAAACTTAATGTTTATTGTGATTAAAGGAAAAAAGTGAAAAAACAGAAAAAAAAGGCATAAAACTCAAGAAACTGGCAAATTCCATAAATTTAGTAATATGAAAGGGAATTTTCTTGTATAGATAAAGGATATCTACAAATTCTATAAAAAATACTAAAATATACAAAAAGCATGCTCTGTTACACAGGAATAACACAAGGTTGCTTGTTATTATCACTTCTGTTCAATGGTATACTGATGGTCTGAGTCAGTAAAAGCAGAAAAATACAGAATAAGCACTGAAAAGGAAGGAATAAGACCATCAAAACTCATAGTTGATAAGTGTCCATGTTTACACTTCAAAGATTCTAGACTTATAAAATATTTAGCAAAGTTAAAGGATTAATTAATACATTAATTCAAGTGGGCTTTATAAAATTCATAGTAAAATGGATTTTTTTCCCATAAACTTTCGAATCTCCCTTGTCTAAAATATGAGATTGAGTATAATTATCTTGTAACCAGCAATTACAGTCCTGCCAATTTAACCCTAGATAAACAAGCAGCAAACAGAAAACATGACTGTAAAATATATGATTTACAATAATAAGAAAGATATAAAGTAGAAAGATATAAATCTAACACGGAGAAAATTATATTCAAAGACATTAGACATGGAGCTCTGGTAGCGTAGTGGTTACGAATCGGGCTGCGAACCTTAAGGTCAGCGGTTCGAAACTACCAGTCGCTCCGCGGGAGAAAGATGAGGCTTTCTACTCCCGTAAAGATTTACACCCTCGGAAACCCTGTACAGGGTCACTATGGGTCGGACCCGACTCGATGGCACTTAACAACAACAACAACAACAATTAGATACCATATTCATGGCTTGAAAACCTCAGATCTACTTAATTGACATAGTTAAACTGTCAATTTGCTCCAGGAAGCTCTTAATATTTAAGTTTTAAGAAAACATTCAACAGGTTTTTGATAATCTTGACAAAACAATTTCAAAATGTCAATAAACACCAAGAGCCAAGAACAATCAAGATATCTTGGAAAAAGATGGAGAACTTGTTCACTACATATAAGTCTATTATAAACCTATATTCACTTTTTTTGCTGTTAAGTGCCATCAAGTTGGCTCCAACTCAGCAAACCTGTATAGATTGCCAAGGCTTTAAATTTTCACCAGGAACAGAAAGCCTCATCTTTCTCCCACGAAGAATCTTCACATGATTCACAATAAACAGTTTTTTAAATATCATAAATAAAAGGGTAAGTCACAAAGTGGAAGATATACTTATAATATGCATAACTGACAAAGGATTGACGTCCCAAATTTATTAAGAGACCCTACAACTCAACCACAGAAAGATAAATAATCCAAAGGGAAATATGAATAAACCTGAAGAGGCTTTTCACAAAATAAGAATCAGGAACATAATATTAAGCAAAAAAGCAAATCCCAGAAGAATATACACACTATAATTTCATTTGTATTCATTATGTTAAAAAACAAGACATTGTTTTGGATTACGGGCATACATGATCAAACTTGAATGTGGGTTCCCGAGGCTCAGGTATTCTGCTGGGCCAAGACCAGCAGGGCAGGGAAGAGAAGGGTCAGTGAAGGGCATGAGTGAAAGGGAAGTGACATAATAAGAAACCTCATGATAGGAGAAGTCACTAACTGGGAAAGTGAGATAGGTCCCAGAGCTGGGAGCATTTCAAGGAAGCACCATTCTTCTTATCAGTAAGTGGCCTAGTGCAACATCTCTGGAATGAAAATCAGAAGACCTCAGGCATGTTTTCAACTTCTGTGGGACTCATGATATTAAGATCAAGGAAGGAGCCTTCAAGACAAGTGCCCTCAGGGGATGGGAACAGAAAAATTTCAAGTTCATCAAAGTCTCAGCTAGAAGCAAATTTACCACACATTTAAGCTTTAAGACTCCTTGCCTAAGGCCGCTTTTGAGGCCCTGAGAGGAATCCGAACAATTCTTTATTATTTTCATTGAGAGCTCCCAAACTGTGTGATATTCAAGCTCCACAAAACCCAGACTGAATGCCACAGTTAACAAACAACCAGTGGAGAAAGCTTTTGTAAAATCTTTGTTGCTATGCGATTTTCTTGCCCCTGAAAACCATCTCCCTCAAACTACATTTCCCTCAGAAATGAAGAAAGTTTGAAATCTAGGCTTGCGGGAAGAGTGACTACACCAAGACCCTGAAAGTAGCTAGGTATGCCCTTTACTCTTGACCAAAGACCTCCGGGCACGGCACATGGAATCTTGCTGGATAACCTATAATACAATGCAAGATTATTTTTCTAAGAAGGTTGTGAAGTACTAACACTAATTCTGGCCAATATCTTTGATAAATATGATAATTGGCTCCCCTACACCAAAGCACAAGCACCTCTCTTTGTGCCTACACCTACTTTTTAAAAAGTTACACAATCTTGTCCAAAGGCTGGTAGGTAGCATTGCCACACTCCTGTGCCTTCAGCAAATGTTCCTAACCCATATCTTCTACACTAGGACCTGGAAAGGCAGAATTGCAGGAGCTGTACATAGGTAAAGGAGCTTTGGTAGCACAGTGGTTATGAGTTGGGTTGTTAACTTCAAGGTCAACAATTTGAAATTACCAGCTGTTTTTCAGGAGAAAGATGAGGCTTTCTGCTACCTTAAAGATTTACAGCCTCAGAAACCTTATGCGCAGGGTCACTATGAGCTGGAACCAACTCCATGGTACACAGCCACCGCAGTACTTAGGTACCACAGACTTGGTAACAAATTTTATTATCACCCCATCATAATGTGGATCAAAACCCAGAACTCCGTTGTCTTCTAAGTAAATGGAGGAGCAGACGCTGAACCAGTGATGCAAGAACAGGCAAAGGAATTTGCCATAGGACAGAATATTTTCAACAAGAACAAATTAGCCAGAATGAGAAATTGCTAAGAAGAAGTTGAGGAATTTGTGAAGGTCAGAATTCCGCCTCCACAAGAAGGCTATATCCAATAGGGAAAGAATATGTTATTCTGAGGGAGCCAAATCTGAGCATGGAAGTCAATCTTTGTGAAATCTACATAAGACCCACAAGGTACTTGAGAATTTTATATCAGCAGAAACACTCTTAGAGGGCTCAGAATGAAAGGAGACTTGTCTCCTTCCACCAAATTCTATTGGCAGGAAACAGGCTGATAAACCTATCCAGATATGTTGTTGTTAGGTGCTCTGGACTCACAGAGATCCAACTATAAACATGGGCTACTTTTCATGAAAAAAAAAGGATGACAGAGCATAGCCTCAGGAACAGAGCCAGGAACTTAGAAAGCAAAACCAAAGAGCTCAGAGGTGAAACCAAGAGTCCAGTTGGGAGAGCTGAGAGCCAGGGTTGACTATTTCCAGGGTTTGATGACACCTTTTGACCTGCCATTTCCCCATTTTTTTGAACCTGAATATCTATAACTTATCTTAGGCCAGTTCTCCCTTGTACACTTGGAAAGTAGGAAGCAGATCATTTATCTCTTCAGTCACAGGTCCACAGATGGAAAGGAATGGCTCTCAGGGGTTGCACTTAAAGGAATAAACTCAGGAGCCTCATTTATACTTGATTTAGAAAACGTAGATAGTAAGATTTTAGATTTGATGAGATTTAGGAATTGAACTGACACTTGTAATGAGATTTGAACCTTTGGGAGAAGGAGACTGTATTTTGCATGTGGGAGAGAAGTCTTTTCTAGGGGCCAGAAGACAGACTGTGGCAGGCAGAAATTTAAGATGGTCCCCATAACCTTCACCCCTGGTGTTATACTCTTGTAACCATGTTACGTTATATGGCAAAAGAAAGATTATCTGGGTAGGCGGCCTACTCTAATCACATGAGTCCTTTATAAGCTGAGAGTTTTTTTCTGGCTGGGAGCAAAAGAGCAAATTATACGATTCAAAATATGAGAGAGATTTGAACCTCCACAAGGGAGGCTCTCCATTGCTGAGATGTAGGGGGTCACTAAGCAAAGATCTCTGGAAAGAAGAGCTGAGAGAAGTGCCCATGCAACAAGAAAATGGGGGACCTCAGTCCTACAAGGAACTGGATCCTGCCAACAACCTGGAAGCATTTGGAAATGACTGCTTCACCAGAGCCTCTTGATAAGGCTGGGACCTTGACTTGAACCTGTGAAACCTAAGCAAAGAATACAGCCAGTCTATCTGGAGTTCTGAATACAGGATTGTGAGATAATAAGTGGGTGTTATGCTAAGCTACTCTACTTGTTATTAAGTTATTACACAGCAGTAGAAAACCAATTCAGATTTTTGTTTGAGTCCACAGATTCTATTTCTGGACATGTTGTGGTTCTCAACCTTTCTGAGAACAAATCTCAGGAGCACAGCAAGAGGTGCAGTACTGGGACAAGCCAGCCCGTTTTAGCACAAGTTTCCTCCTCTGCAAGGTGAGGATCAAGAGAGGAAAATTCTAAGAAAACACTTCTACACCAACAACCTTTTCAACAAACACTAGACGTATTATTAATCACAACACCCATGCGGATACCTGTAAGAAGGGGGACCTGGACAGAGTTCAAGGACAGAAAAGTCAGAGCTGCTTACCTTCCTCAGGTGAGGACTGTGGACTGCTAGAATAAAGATATGCTCCTTCCCCTCCTGTTAGAAAGGTGCCCAGGAAACACTCATCTTCCTATTAAACAAAACAAAAAGAGCAGGTGATATTTTTAGCACAATCACTCACAGAATCAAAATTCTTGCCCAATTTTGCCTATCTATAAAGATGCCGAGTCAGATTCAGATAAACTCTACTTCTGACATGGTCTTTGGTGTGCTACTGGCATACTTGACTTGTGCTGAGGTAGGGAACGCTAAGTTGTCTGTGAGCCCATGCACTGAAGCCTGTTAGGCTTGTCCATGTTCTAGTGGATTTATATCCTCTGTGAAATTTGGAAGCAGTTTTTCCTTGGCCTGAAGCCTTAACCTCTCACCTCTACTTGACTAGGCAAGTCTGGGATTTGCTTTTAAATTGTTCTAGGTGTCAGAAGGAAAGTCCTGGTGTGGCACTGTAGAATAAGCACTCTATCTGACTGCAGGGTCGGTTTGATCTGCAAGGTTGGCAGTTCAAACTCAGCAGTCACTCCTCAGAAACCCTATACAAGGTCACTATAAGTTGGAACTGATAGCACTTAATAACAAACAACAGGTGTCAGAACGACTCCTAGTGTGGCACTGTAGGATAAACACTGGACTGAAAACCACAGGTTGTTGGTTCAAACATACCTGCTACTCCTAGGAAATCCTGTTCAGGGTCACTTTGAGACAGTTGCTTTGACAGCACTTAACAACAATAACTACAAGAGGTAACAGAATGGTGCTGTGGGTTAGGCGTTAGGCTACTAACTTCAAGGTCAGTGGGTCAAAACCACCAGCTGTTCCATGGGAGAAAGATAAGGTTGTCTACAGCTACTGTAAAGATTTATAATCTTGGAAACCCTACACCAGGTTGCTATGAGTCAGAATTGACTCGATACTAGTGGGTTTTAGTTTTAGGTGTCAGAACAATAAACCAAATGGGACCACTGGAGCAGCATTTGACCAAAAACACAGCTCAGAAGGCAGGAAAGAAGGATGGACAGAAATGGAGCCCAGAGAGGAAGTGGGAAGAGTGCTATTACATTGAGGAGATTGCACTAATGTCATATAAACTGTTGTATGGAAAACTCATTTATAGTTTACACGTGTTTTGTTTTGTTTTATGACAATAGTACAATCCGCTCGATGTAACAGCACTCTTCCCACTTCCTACCTGGGCTCCAATTCTGTCCATCTTTCATCCACACCACAAATAATAATATTAACATAAGTAGTATTTATAATAATAAAATTAGTATTGTTGTTGTTAAATGCTATTGAATCAGTTCTGACTCATAGCGACCCTGTATAGGGTTTCTGAGGTGCAACTAGTGAGCCTGAACCAGCAAAAGTGCAGTTCAAACCGACTTTGCAGTCTAATGCATTAAACCCACAGTGCCACACCAGGTCTCCAAAATTAGTATTAGGTGATTTTAAAAAAAACATCAGAAGGTTTATAAGGCAAAAAAGAATCCCTCTTATTGTGCTCCCCCATAAATGGTTACTTCTAGAACTCTGCTGGGAATGGACACAGTACAAATAGGAACTGAAAACAAACGTGTACAAATCCTTTAAATAGCATAAGATGACAATCTGAATTTTTTTCTAAATTATTTATATACTATGTTAACACTGAAAATAAGAAGGTTGCTTACCCTCACTGCTTGCTGGGTTTTCTCAGACAATTTTATTTTATTATCTTCTACCTGTGGCCAAAAAGAATGCAGATTAATTAACTACATGAAAGACAAAACCCTGCTGGGTCTCTCCCTGTGTTCAAGTATTTCCCGGAGACCGAAGGGGTAGCCTCTCTGTCAAATCCTTGGCATAACTGGCTGCTGGTCATCAGAAATCAGGGTCCACAGTCATGGTGGGTCTCAAGCCTGTGATATTTGGAGAGGATGTGTTAGGTTAGTCCATACTTAAATTCCACTTTAGAGAAACACTACTAGTTTTAGGGATGAAGGAAAGATAATATATTAAAATATTTTCAGAGTGTGCTCTTATTAAAATACAAGCCATGTTTGAGAATAACTCTTGTTCTTTTCAAACCATATCAGAACCACAGAAACAGAATATAAACTGAATTAAATAAGTCCTGAGACTATTCCAAATCCACTGTTTACTGCTTTCTGTGTTCCCAGAGTTTCCAGCCAAGTCTCACTGAGGAAGATGGGCCTGCCAAGTAGAGAGAACTGTTGTCAAAACTCTGCAGCAACCACTGACCAAAGAAGGAAGCCACATGCTTAATTTCTCACTCACTGTGTGACCTTGAACTGTTCAAAGTCTAAGCCCTCAGTCTCCTCATCAGTAAAATAAGAGTGCTAATTTCTTCTTTTCACAATTTAACAGGGACCCAAAAGTCCTGGTATAATGCTGTAGGACAACCACAGGACTGCTAACCAAAAGTTTAGTGGTTCAAACTCACCAGTTGCTACCTGGAAACTCTCTTCAGGGTTGAAGTGAGTCAGCTGACTACACAGTACTGAACAACAGATATTTAGTTCCTTTTTAAAAAAATGTCTTTCCAAGATTATGAGAAAACTAAATAAATTAGTTTGTTTAAAGAAAAAGCTGAGTGAAACCTCCATTCCTGAACAATAGTTCAAGATTTGACATCAATGGAGAGGCTCTTCTTAAATGCCCTTGGTTTAGTCACATTTACTGCCACTTCCATCAGAAGAATGATACTAACCAGCCAGGAGCAGAATCTGGGTATGGCCGCAGTCAGGACTATGGAGCTGGTTTCTGTGGTAACAGTGCCATCTGTAGGAAGACCACAGACACACAAGTTACTCCCTACCACCACCTGAGTCCACAGGCAGGTCCCAGATGACTAATGTCTATTCTCTTTCTCAGGAGCTTAAGGAAAACTTCCTTGTATGGGGATGGGGAAAGCGATGAGAAGAGACACAAGGGTTTGCCTATGTGATGAACATTATTATTTTTACACACACAAAATACATATTTAAATGAAGAGTCCTGGGAATTATTTTTATTTTTACTTTTAATTTTTATCCAAGTATTACATTTATATATAAAAACTCAAACAGTGTATCAGTCATCCTATAAACACTGCATATAATCATTCTTTAAATTTTTTTTGTCAACATAATTGATAAAAAAAGTTTAATTATTGGTTTAAATTGCTGCTTCTAGTGATTACTTGCGAGGGTGCATATTAGTAAATAAATAAATATATACACACATGAAGAGGGCTTTAAAAATGTTGTGGAAAAATGCAATTAAAAATAATAGAATAGTACCATGAAGTTTCTGAAACCCCTTTGTGTGTCTATCTATCATGTGTATCTATCTATCTTTCTATCTGTATCTCCGCTGGGTAGATTATGCTTCTCTAATTATTAAGTGGAGTCCTTGTGTGGCACTGTGGGTTAATAAGCTAGCCTGCAAAGTTGGTTAGAATTGCAAGGTCAGCAGTTTAAGCTCATCAGCCACTCCTCAGAAAGCATATATAGGGTGGCAATGGGTTGGAATCGTCTTGACGGCATTTCACAAGAACTGTTCATAAATTAGGGTATTTCTTATAAGGAGTTTTGGTGGCACTGTGGCTTAGGTGTTGGGCTTCAAGGTTGGCGGTTCAAATTCACCGGCTGCTGATGAGGAAAGATGAGGCTGTCTTTTCTCATAAAGGTTTATAGTACAGTCTCAGAAACCCTATAGAGGGTAGCTATGAGTTGGAATTGGCTTGATAGCAGTGTGCTTGTTTTGTTTTATCCTTAATTTTAACAGTTCTACCAGTTTGTTCTAATTTTTTTACTAGTTTATTGCTGCTCTTCTGACTGATGGTTTGTTTTGTTCCCCTGCACCCCTCTTCCCCTGCCTAAAAAACCCCCTCAGTTTTGCTTTCCAATACCACGTACCTTTTTCTTTAACTAATATCTGAGATGTCAAAAATGATTCTGAGAAGACCACAGATCCTAAGCACCCTCTTCCTCCCAGCAAGTCAGGAATATCATAGACAGTCATACAAGCCTGTATCAAAGAGAAACCAGAGTGAGAGCAGTCACTAGCCTTAAGCCTTCAGGAAGAGATCTATAAGAAAGAGATCATGAAATACTGCTTTAAGACATACTGTGAAAGAATATTAGAAATAAACCAATAGGGAAGGTTTCAAGAAGAGGCAGAACTTCATCTCTGCTTGGAAGGGAGAACAGGATTTGGGCAGAAAGCACTAACATACCTCCTCATCTTTTCTATTTTATTTGCTGCTACTGAATATATTCCTTAAATTAACAGTATGAGTCTACTGGATTCCATTAATTATTTCCTAATCACTTAACTACTGTCAAGGCACCTTCAGCAGCACTGCACAAGAGTCCAAGGAGGGAGTCAGGGAGTTTATAAAGTCTAGCAAGTAGGAAGTAGAGACAATATTATTGCCTAAATATCAGTAAGCATTTCTCAAAGTCTTGATGTCACAAAGAAGACTAAACTGATTCTAAAAGAACATCAACACAAAATGCGTAGAGATACATGGGGCATCCTTATTACAAAGATGTAAATTATAGCCATAAGACTTTTGTTGTACGGTACTCTGTAGATGAGATGCCACCACCAACAGGAACTTTGAGCTGATTTTCTACTGGTGATGGTGGTGGGGATGTATCTGCACTGAGCCATCCAAACTTGTGTCCTCCAGTTCCCCATAACCAAAAGCTCACTGGAATTAAGGCTCAGGCAGTGGACACAAACAGATTCAAATATTTCAACTAGAGGCATGGCTAGATGCTCACTATCCTCTCATGCAACCTTCTTGCAAGGATGTACTGGGGTAAATGGTTTGTGACTGGTAATCACTGGCCTGGAAATTCTGCATCCCTAGGCCATGCCAGTCTACAATGGGGCTGAGAAGACCAGTATCTCAGTGCATCTCTAAACTACTTCTCTGGTCTAGCAGCATGCACCCAACACACAGAAAGCTCTACTCTGACTACCCCACTTAGCTGGAGAACTACATCCTTGTTGAGAGCATCAATGAAGACCCTGAAACACAGACAAATCATTGAAAACTTCCTAGTCACTGCTGAGGTAGGCTCACATCATCTTCAGTTCACATTTCCATATGCTACTTGAGCAATCTCAACCACTTGGAGGAAGTCTTCATAAACTCAGAAGTTTATGAAGTTTATGAAGTTAAACTCTGGTCCCTAGGCATGGGGTATGGCTGGGTCTGATACAGCTACATGGGCACCTTCATAAAGCGAGGTCCACCACCGCTATGGCTGGGATGGCTCTGAGAATAGGCCAGTTTCCTTATGTAAGGTCTGGGCTGCCCATTTACATCCTGCCTTACCCCTTGTAAATATCACTCTACAGGCCATGCACAGCATCTAACCTGTAACAGTTCTGCTTACCGTCTTCACAAAGTATAAACTATCTTCACTATCCAGACGTACAATTCTACAAGAAGAAAAAGATGGGAGAAAGATACATTAAAACATTATGTTGTTCTCATTCACCGTGGCTATGCTAACACATAGACCCAAATTTCCTTCAGAAACTTTCAAAACACTGAACTGCATTTATGTAGATTAATATGAAGGCCACTTGGCATGAATTATGTCCAGGCCCTCCCCCTCAGCTTTCAGTAAGCAGTACTCAGATTAGAGGGTCTCAGGGGAGCACAGACACGACCAGACTTGAAGTGATGACACTGCCAGGTGCGCAACTCCGAGAACATCCAAGCCAGCAGTTACAAAGCAGCCCTTCTCTTTTTTTGCGTCTAAAACTTGTCCCAGATGAGGATGAACCACAGCCATACACTTACCTTCCCTGATTATTCACAGCATGTATATGAAAAGCCATCTTAGAGCTGTGGACCAAAAGCAAAACAAAACAAAAATAAAGTCAGTCTGCTCTTGATGACTACTGGGTTGGCATCCTTCTGCAGCAAACCTGCTCTGGACCCTCACAGCCACCCAGCAAAGTGTGTGTCCTCATTGTCTTACACAGGATACATAAGTCACCTTTCACTGTGTCTCACACCACTGGCAGGTGTGGGGCTAGGATTTGATTTCCGTCAGGGCTCTGCCTGTGTATAGATCCTCAGAACTGTCTTGATTTTTAGATCAGAGCCAGAGAGAACTATATGACAGGACTAATGCTGGCTACAGTTGACCACCTTCAGGTCAAGCTGCAATCCCTGATCTGAGCCTAAGCATAGGTCACGTCTCTGCTATCCACAGCCAAGTGCTGTGGGATGAGGGGCATGGTCAGGAAGAGCGCCAGAGTTGAACATACTGAGGAATAACCAGAAAATCCCCTGGCATCAGTATTTCTTTTCTTTTTAAATGTTTTATTGTGAATTATGTTAGTGTACATGGGAGAAAATTAGTTTTACATTCATACTATCGTATATCATTTCACTGCATTGGTTACAATCCGTTCCATGCATCATCAACCAACCAAAGGGTATACGCTGCAAGCCTGCCTCCCTGTCGTTCGCAGCCCAACTCCCTCTCTGGGTCTAGAGTCCCCAGCTGCTCCATCTCTCCACGTCATTGTTTCTGCCTCCATCTCTGGCATCACTGCTTCTCTGGGTAGGGTCCCACTCTCCACTCTTCTCCCTTGATGGTCCCAGGGACCTTGGCTCCTGGACTGCAAAGTCAATCACTCCCCTCCTTGCTACAAAACGTCTACCTTTACATTTCCAACCCTCACAGTCAGTCCTCATAACAATTATTCACTATTGTATCACAAGAGACCTATCCCATCTCCTTTAATCAGCCCTGCCTAGGCAGATTGGATACTACGCAGTGGAGATTCTACCTTCCTCCATGTCCTCTGGATCTAGGCTCCCTCTTGAAAGCTTGTAAGCCAGTCACTTATTGCCTTTGTAGCCCCCCATTTTGGGTAGCCAATGTCCAAGTGCCCATCCCTGTCTACTCTGTGTATGGAGGGGGTGGGAATGATCCTCGCTGTAAAGATTTGTTCCCTCTTTTGAACTATTGCATCCATAGGCGTAGGTCAAATTCATCAAATTGTATCAGATTACTCTTTTTTTTCCCCCCTTTTTACTTCTTCTAGTTGAGCTCTGATCATCCAGTCATTGAAGCCAGGTCAAGTGGGTATTATCTGCAAGTGTGGGTATTTTGATGCATATTCCCTCATTTCTTATCAGCTGGATGCTTCACTCTCCACTCTAGTCCTCTGTGACTATGTCACTGACTCTGGGCCCAAGAGTCCCCAAGTCTTGCCACACTACTGGCCAACCAGGTCTCCACCTGGGTTCACAGGAGTCTATTGAACATTGTAGGACTTAACTCACAGCTTCATTGCTGTTTTTCCCTCACTTCCCCTTATCGGTGACCAACATGGTCACCAATCAGAGCGCATGTCTGCTCGTGTATTCCCATTGAGTCTTAAGTCTTGGAAGGGGGTTTGCCTTGACCCGACCATTTGCCTTGATGTCTCTTAGGCGAGCAACTTGCTTGTTCTTGTAGTAATCAGTCAGATTGCCGTTATTGTTTTTTCATTTTTCCTGTCGGTCTTTCTTTCAAGAAGTATCTTCTGTTCTTCTAGCCGCTCCAGTCTGATCTCCTTGTCCATTCAAGTGGAAATTTCCCACCTCAGAAGATTCTGGATGCAGTTCAGGATTCCACCTATGGTCTTAAGCAATGTAGAGGCTCCGCAGGAAGTCTCCTTCACTGGGCACATTGTATCCCTATTTTAGGTATTCCAATCAGTTATAGGCAGAAGATGGACTTACAAGCTTTCTATGGTGATATTTCTGGCTATTCCTTTCTCTCCCCTTCAATTATCTGTTTTATAATGGTATGCCAGGGAAACCAAGATTCCAAAGACAGCAAATCTTCTTAACATTATTTCCCCCCCTTTTGCCCATTCCAACCATGTCTCAATCCCTGCATCCCAGAGCCCTGTTGTTTCAAGGTTGTGCATACATCAGTATTTACCTGTGTCCCACTTAGCCAATGCAAACCTGCATAATTGTTTTCCCATCCGCCTTGTCTTCCATTCCCATCTCCCATCAGTATTTCTTAAAAGAGAAAGTTTCTAAAGCATGTAAGTTTAATTTCTTACTTTAATAAGCACTGGTCAGATGCACACTGACTTCTTGTGCTAATTCATGGCTATCCCCTCCCTGCCCTCTCAGAAGATCTGCTAATCTGATGGAGTTAAAGGGTACTTGGTGAAGTCATCCTTGTGGGGAGAGGAAGTGGTGGGGCCCTAGGAGGAGGACCTGCCCTGGGTGACTCTCCTCTCATTGCCTGGTGCTTTCTCTTTGTTCCTTCCTCCAACTAGGGTGAGATACCCAGGCCAGGGGGGCTCTTGGATTGAAAGGAGGCAAAGGCCCAAGGGAAGGACGAGTGGAATGACTACGTCGACCATGTCTATGGCAATAGCGCAGACCCTTGCTACAACAGTAGCGAACATTCACATGTCAAGCACTCAATGTCCACTCTGCAAGGAAACACACCCCAATTTTCCAGATGAAGAAATAGCTGCACAGTGAGCTCCCTGACTTGCTTAAGGTCACACAGATAGAAAGCAATGGAGCTTTCTCAAACCCAGGTTCCTAGGAATAGACAATGCAGGCCTTTAGGGAACAAGCTTCCCCTGTTCCTCCCCTTTTTAGGTCAGAGAAACAAGACCCAGAAGAATAAGGGACAATGAGGTCTGAAGTGGTAAGCCTTTAGTCTTGCACCAAAAGGGTGATACAATGTTATCATGGGTAGGAAGCCAGTGTGACTTGGAATAATGCTTCAACTGGCAAAAAGACACTGGTACTTCCTGTAACAGCCCTATGGCAGAGCTGGGAGCTCTTTGTGGTTTTGGCTTTTTGTGCCATTCCTAGAGCTGTAGCAAGAGAACTCTCAGAACAGTAAGATCAACTGACTGACATCTTTCTAAATGTTCCTTCCCACTATGCAGGACTACAGATATAAGAAAATATGAGGTCTGGAGTTGAGGCAACATAAGGCACAACCCAGAAGTGTTCTAAAGGAAACTCCCCAATATTGTCTCCTTTGCATAAAAGTGTACAAAGTGGTCTGAAGGTGGGGCAGTGGGTTAAGTGGCCTTGTTTGTGAATGTTTAGCTTCAGAAGGAAACCACACAGAGACCCACTGTGATGTGTTGGCTTGGAGACATGTCAAGACTGTTAGCAAGCCAGAGTCCCAGACTGTCTAGACCAGGGGTGGGAAACGTCCAGCCTCAGGCCATATTAGGCCCAGGAAATCATTTGGTCTGGCCCTACCAAGGCAACCACAGTTCCGGCCATTACATTAGGGGCAAGTTAATTGTTTGATCAAATACAGCAGGCTAATTTTCAAGTTGATAATTTTGTATGGCCTACAAATGAGGCTATAAATTTTGTCAGAAAAAAGGTTTCCCACCTCTGGTCTAGATCCTGAAACACTCCCAGGCTCAAGGTTTCTGTGACTTGAGAAGCACAGGGCAAATCTCTTCTAAGAATGACTGTCTTTATGTGCCCAGGTCTTGGCCTCACCACTCACATCCTCAGTTTTCATTCCTGCAACCTCTGTGGTCTATGGTCTCCCTCCTGTGGTTCTTGTGTTCATCTGCCTCACATCCAGTCTCAGGACATGTGTGGGACTTCTTCTCATATCACTCTTTATGTTTGGATCTTCGATGTTGGGTTTCTTAATTAAAGCCCTGATCATGAATGATCTTCCTTCACACAGTCTATTAATTTACTGGAATATTTTTCAAAGGGGATACCAAATATAAATGCAAGAAAGAAAAGTCTGTTATTTTAAAGCAAACATTGAAAAAAGTGCCTTTTAGAAAACAGCGGCCATTGCCTACCGTAGGGCTGTCTTAAATTGCATCAACTCATAGGAATCTAACCCAGATCCCAGGGCTTGCTCTGCTACCTCCTTGGCCTGTAAAACCAAGAACACAAACAGAGGCAATTAGCTTTCACAACAGGAAAAAGTATGAACAGCACTCAGAGAGAGAATGAGCCTTCTAACATGTACTGGGAGAACACTGCTCCTCCCCTTTACGTGACTACTTTGTACACATCAACAGTCACAAATGAAAATGTACTGTGGTAAGAGAAACAGGTGCCTGCTTTCTTCAGGCTGGGTTCACAGGAAAAATACTTCTTTCACACAAGTGGGTACTAGAACTTGATCCACCTGAGAGCTGTAACCTGCTGAGTTGGTTCCAGGGGAGACACTGTGCATCAGCTAGTGTGAGGTCTGGAAAAGTTCTCTAGGTGACTTTACACTTTCCCCTCTCCCACAACCCTAAAGAGGACTACTGCCCTCAGAGTTCCTTCCAGATGCCAAGAGTATTTAAAGAGCTAGAATTAGAAAAGGTCAGTTAAAAAACAACAACAATAAAGGGGTGAGTACTGATGACATCCCATTGCATTGCATAAGCTTTCTGTCACACAGCAGCTGAAGGGCTGAGAAGTCCTATGTCAGTACCAGGGATTGGAGTTCAGTGAGGAGGGGAGATGGTAGGAGATGGTGACTACAATTACAGTCTCTCTGCATCTACTACATCATACACAACCTTTCCAATCTCAAACAGCTTCCTTCAGAAAGGTCTATTGGCATTGGGGGGGCATCAAGGCGACTCTTCTCATCTCCTTACTGGGTCACATATAGGAACCCAACTCAGCAGGGCAGGTTAACCACAAAACAGCAAGGAAAATAATGGTCAGAGAATGAGAACACACATGACTGTCTAGGAATGGCAAGTCAGAATTTCTGTTCTTTAGGGGCTTTTTTGAAAAACACCATCCTATGAAAATTCAAACTAAACAGCTCAAAACAAACCTAATTTTATTAAAATTCACAGAATAATCTATATTTAAATTTAAAAAAAATTTTAAAGCCTTACTAAAACTATTAGCAGAACAATGGGGTTTCAAAAAGTTCATAGAAAAATGGAATGAGGAGATAATGGAATTTTCTCACAAACTTTTCTCCCATGTTGTAGAATGGTTTTTCTTTAATACAGCCTGAGGTCTACAAACAAATGCTGGTTAGTTGTCACTCAAAACAAAAGCACAGACACAGGCTTTGCTCAGCATTCCAAAGGCATCTCTACCTGGGGCCAGCTCCATCAAGGCCCAACCTCACACAAAGTTGAGTACCACAAGGTATCCAAAGAATAAACAGATGGAGAGGAAGTTTCACGTTAATGTAACAACTAAAGAAAGAGAACCATGGTATTTCAATTACCTTTGTTAGACTGGAAGTTTTAGCATAGCATGCAATACCAGCCAGAACAGCCTCAACAACAGCAGCATATACCTGGGATAAGAGCCTACTTTAAAAACAAAAAATAAAGGTTAACTACAACATTGCAGGGTTTCATCAACAGCTGCATGGACATAAATGACATTCTCCATGGAAATGATTTTTAAATAAAATAAGTATAAAAATGAAAATCATTGATTTCTAAACCTTTTAAAAACCATGTGCCCTAACTGATTTGTTTGTACTTTGCTCTTGTTAACTCATCTTAGGGAAAGCAAAGTTCTGCTCCAATGATCAACAGGACTCACAGGAGGAAACTATGTGGGTGTCCTGACCCCTTTTTGTGCAGCACATCAAGACAGATTGTTCCATTTTCAGGGCAAGTATGCCACACCTTCATATCATCTCCCCACCAGACATGCTGAAGGTTGGCTGCTCCTGGGACTTCAAGGGGCAAGAGAGATCACCCAGTTTGAATGAATAGGCTCCACTGAAATTCAAATTAAACACCTGCAGACCACTCTCCAAGCAGCTTGCCAGACAGAATGCTTCTGAGGGCATCTCTCACTTCCTTCCCACCCCAAAGCTCGCTCTTTCTCTCTGGCTTCTTACTTTGTCTTTGCTAGAACTGGGACTGAGGATTGCCAAAAGGTTCTCAAAAAAAGCAAGCTTCTTGTTGTTCTTAAAAGAGTGCCGTTGAGTCAGTTCCAATTCATAGAAACCCTGTATAAGGTTTCTGAGGCTGTAAATCTTTGTGGGAGCAGAAAGCCTCATCTTTCTCCTGTGGAGCTTCTAGTGGGCTCAAATTGTGGTCTGCAGCCCACTGCTTATCATGTAGAGCCCCACACTCCCTACTTTCCTTTGTTGTTGTTAAGTGCCACTGAGTCAGTTTTGACACACAGCTCCCCTGTATAGGGTTTCTGAGGAGTGGCTGGTGAGCTTGAACTGCTGACCTTGTGGTTCGAACCAGCTTTGAGTCCAGCACATTAACTTACAGTGCCACACCAAGACTCCTTTAGGGTGGGCATTTTCAACCTCAGCAATTTGGGCCCAATAATTTTTTTTTTTGTTTTTTTTTTTTGTGTGTGTATGTGGAGAGGGAGCAGTCCTGTGCATTGTAGGATGTTTAGCAACATCTTTGGCATCCACCCAGAACAAGCTAGTAGAACACCCCAGTTGTGAAAACCAAAAATGTCTTTAGACATGTCCCTGGGAGTAAATGAGGGGCAAAACTGCTTTGGGTTGAGGATGATAAGGGAAAACAGACCCAAGCTTACAGAGAGAGCTTATCCAAGAGATCCTGGAAGGCAAGGAAAGCTGCCTAGAAGAGAACTGAAAACGACTTACCTAATGATACATCTATTTTTAAGACTGTGAGAATCTTGTAAAAGGAAAAGGAAAGTGATAGAGGCTTGAAGATTAGAAGAAGCACAAATGATCTCATCCGATTCTCTCACTTTATAGGGGAAACAACTGAGGGCTTATGAAGGTGGACTAAGTTGCTCAAGGTCACAGAAAATTAATGGCAGACCTGAACTCAGGTGTGCAGTTAGATTGGTGCTTTTTCCATGTACCATATCACATTACCTTCTCCTTCCATTTCTTTCTTGGTCCCTGCACCACATTTCCATACTTTACACAAGAGACTTGAATTCAGTGGAATAAAAAGGGCATAGGAAAGTCCTTATACTAAAATGACAGCTCCAAAGATCTACAACATATCCCAAAGATTAAAATGGCCACGGCAGAGGGGTACACCCTAGAGGAAAGGGCCTGGCAGGGACACTGACAGTGAGCTCGGCTACTTTCAAGTGCCAGAATCCTCCACACTTTGATACTAAGAGCGAAGTTTTATAGAGGCCAACTCCAAAGACATGTGAAGATAACCCCTCTGCTTAATTAAAACCTCCCGAAGTACAGAGTTCTGGTGTGGCAAGGTAGGATCAGCACTGGACTGTTTACTACCAGGTTGGTGGTTCAAACGCACTAACCTCTCCTTGGAAATCCTAAACAGGGTTGTTATGAGTCAGAACTTAACACCTAACAACTACAGCACCTAACAACAACAACAAAGTACCAACAAAGGGAGCTCTAGTAGCATAAGTGGGTTATGAGTTGGGCTTCTAACTGCAAGGCCAGCAGTTCAAATCTACCAGCTGCTCCATTGGAGAAAGATGAGGTATTTTGCTTCTGTAAAGATTTATAGCCTCAGAAATTCTACAGAGTCACAATAAATCAGAACTAACTTGATGGCACACAACCACTACTACCACCAAGTACCAACATTAGTTAGGCCTCCCCCTGCTTGGCCTTCTCCTACACAGGCCCACAGACAAGAACTCAATCCTAAGCCACCTGTCTACTGAAACATACAATGGTCTGGATGGGAGGAATAAGACTTATGATGAGGGAGGGCCTGCTCTCTGCTGGGAAGGTTACTGATGACTTCCCTGGGATTGAACAAGTTCCACCAGCCCTGGAATCTGGTGAGTCCCTTGATGTAAACAGGAGCACTCTTCCATACCAGTCCCTGAAGCAGTGCATATATGGTGCTCATCCATGAGGCTCTAAAAGGCAAGTGGAGGTTCCTGGAAGGACTGAGAAAGCCTCATCTAACTAAGAAGAGGTGAGGGTCCAGAATGAGGTTCCAAGGAAGTAGCTAAGCACAGCTGGCAAGGGAAGCACAAGCAGTTACAAAGCTAGACTGCACCTATAACATGAGAAAATGGTTGACTAAAGTTGCTAAAGTGAAGAAAACCCTTTAAAACAAAACCCAAAAAACTGTATGCAATATGACTACAGCTACATAAAACCTAAATGCGTACTAATAAATGAACATTAAGATGTTTATAGGAATAGTGCCAGAAAGAAGGAACTATGATAGATTTTTTCCCCCCACATTTTCCAGAGTATGATTATGTTGTTGTTGTTGTTTAATGCCGCTGAGTCAGTTCCAACTCATAGTGATCCTGTAAAGATTTTTTGAGGCTTTAAATCTTTGCAGGAGCAGAAAGCCTCATCTTTCTCCCTTGGAGCGACTGGTGAGTTTGAACTGCTGACCTAGTGGTTTGCAGTTTAGTGTTTATCGTATGGAGCCACCATGCTACTATGATTATATTGCTTGTATGTATTTTTTTCCAGTATAATTTTATGAATCCTACCTTCAGAAATTTTAGATTCAGTAGCTCTGGAATTGGGCCTGGGGAACCTATATATTAAAAAAAACTCTTTAGGTGATTCTTTGTGGTCTGTCATTGCTGGCCTTAGGAGACACTGGTCTACACCCTACCGGTTTATGCTAGGATACTAGCTTAAGTAATAAAATTGAATTCACACCAGGACTCCAATAATATAATTGTGTTTATTTCTGAAGAAGAATGCTTCTTGGAATTTAACAGATTTAGCATTAATGATTTTATTTCCTGACTTGGGTTTCCTGCTACAAGTAGGGGGAGAGAAGTCAGGTAGAAATGTAACTTTTATTTATTACTTATTATTTTCTAACTTTTAAATGGGAATTAGGTGAAGAGAAAATCATTTTCTATTCAACAACTCATACATATTTTGCTTCATGTCACTGACTGCAATCCCACATTATCATACCACTTATCCTACTTCCTCTCTGTTTCCTGTTTCTATTCCTTCTTCTTTCTTAACCCTTCCTGCCTTCTGAATTCTTGCTAAACGTTACCTTTTTGATCTCAAATGATTATTCTAAGGAGTGCATACCTGCCCAAGTGTCATTGTCCCTTTATAGACCTGTTTATTGTTTGAAAACTGAACTATAGGTTGAGGTCTGTTCTAGACCTAAAGGGTAACTAAAGGCCATTGTCTTGAGGGATTCCATTAGTCTCTACCTAACCAGCAAGCCTGAATTCTTAGAATTTTGAGTTTTGTCCACATTTCTCTCTCACTCTATCCAGAGCCTTCTAATGTGATCCCTTTCAGTGTATTTTGTAATCGTGGCTGGCTACCATCTAGTTCTGGTCTCAGAGCAGTGGAAACTGATGTTCACATGTTCCATTAACCCATTGGACTAATTGTTTTCATATGTCTTAGATTTTTTTCACTCTTCTTTTCTCCGGATGGGGAGAGACCAATAGTTGCACTTTAGATTGCCACTCACAAGCTCTTAAGACCCTATTTACCACTCACCAAAGTATATGTGGAACATTGTCTTTGTGGACTACGTTTTGTCAAGTGACCATAGACCCTGAGTCTATGATTGTAAGCCCCCAGGCTTAGTGACTCATTCCATCAAGGTGTTAGTTATGTCTTAGAAGTTTTACAACTTTGCCCCCTTGTCAACAGCAGGACCTTTCTAAAAATGGACAGCCTGGGTTCTGATCTCAACTCTGTTCTCTAAACTTCAAGGTCAAATCCAGAGGAAATACTCGTTGGACCAGATAGGGTTTCATACAGATTCTCTCAATGAGTTTCAGGATGATTTATGTTTAAGAAAGTCCCTATTTAAAAAACACTATGTAGAAAACATTAAGGAGACTTATGTCATTTATATGCATGGGTGCTTCAGGCAGAAAATTCTGTCAAGGTGAGCAGATAGCAAAGCTGGCAGGGTCCTCTGGTCTGTACTCCAAACTGAGAGCAGAGATTGGGGACCTCCTCGGAAACTACACAGCTTTATGCAGCCTCATAAACCAGGTGTCTTAACCACTGATGAACTCAAAAGGGAGTAGATAGCCACAATGTATGGATAAACTCAACTTTAGGAAAGAAAAAAATAAAACAGAAACAAAGACTTACATTTGCTCAGTTTTTTTGGGCGGTTTGTTGTCATCACCTGTGAAAGAGCACCATTTATTAAGAATACAACAAGGTCATAGAAAATGCCAACATTTCAAAAGGAAGCTAGAATTTCTTAGTTTAGTTACAAGGAAATATCAAGAGCTACTTTTCTTTTAATTTTTTAAGTTACGTACAGTATAAACACAACAGTGAAACTTTCCTTCTCCCAGAATCGTCCTGGACCGTTATATTTTAGTCTTACATTTTCTTCTTTTACTACCATCACCATGAAACACCAGCGGACTTGTAGAAGCTGAGACTCTGGAATATTTTTCTTATTATATTTAGTTTTTTAAAGGAGATATAAGTAAGCAGGCACAGCATTGCCTTTTTTAAATGTATGAGACAAGTCACGTTTCTTTCTATGTAGAGTTTTCTGGCTTATAAAACACCCAGGAGAACTATCTGGTTTCTGATGTAGCAAGACAGGAGTCCTATCTGCCCAGCACTATAGCGTGGAAACCTTCCCTTGCTTCTGTGAATATTCACAGCTCCTGGGCACTCTTCTCCAATGGCCCTTCCCTACTTTTCCTCAGAAGGCGGGGTCATTCAAATTCCTCCATAGCCCTAGGCCCTGTAATCATGAACCAGGTCTTTTACTCATCTTTGCTTTTTCTCTGATACTGAGTACAGGAAATTACACATGCCTAGACAAAGGAGCTCTGGTAGCGTAGTGGTTACGAATTGGGCTGTGAACCGCAAGGTCGCAGTTCGAACTACCAGAGGCTCCGCCGGAGAAAGATGAGGCCTTCTGCTCCCATGAAGATTTACAGCCTCAGAAACCCTGTGCAGGGTCGACTATGAGACGGAACCAACTCCATGGCACTTAACAACAACAACAAGACGAAGGATATACTGAACTGAATGGCTTTTTCTTCTGAAATGTATTCTGTAAGACATGGGTTAGGCAAATCAACTGCCAAGCTGTACTGAGAGGGAGCTGTTGGTGTTCAAGTGCCACTGAGTCAATTCTGATTCACAGCAACCCTGTAAAAGGTTTCCAAAGAGCAGCTAGTTTGACCTGCCACCCTTATAGTTATCAGTCCAGTGTTTATCCTACAGTGCCACACTAGGACTCCAAAAGGAGCTAGAGGTCTACAATCTAGGAATCAAGAGCTTCTGAGCAAAGTAGTAATCTTGAGTCAATTTCTAATCTATGGGAGAACCCATAATATGGGAGAGAAGATTTATAAGGACTTACCCAAGTAAGGCATGTGAGTAGCTCCAAAGAAGTATGTTCTCGAGCAAGCAAGGGGTCCCTTTGGCGAGACACACTGTGCTACCTGAGTATCAGAAAAAGAATTAAAACAAGAATAAAAATTAGGTGTGTCTGGAGAATGATTGTTACAGAAACAAAAAGTATATAGTTAACAGAAATCAATTTTATTTCACCAACAGCTGATTTAATATTTTTTAAAAACATAAGGGAAAAATGCTAAAAAAGAAAAATGGTATCTTTGTGTGTGTGTGTATGTTTTAATAATGTGTATATATTCTCATGCTTCGGATATACTGTCAAGAGGGACCAGTCGCTGGTTTGTTTGGTAAGGTGGAGGGTCAGAGAAAAAGAGGAAGATCCCCAGCGAGATGGACTGGCAAAGTGGCAGCATCATTGGGGCTCAAGTGTGGCAACAATAGTGAGGTTGGCTCAGGATTTGGCAGTGTTTGGTTCTGCTGTGCATAAGGTCACTAGGAGTTGGTACCGACTCGATGGCACCTAACAACAATAATAACAAATATATTCTGTGGTTGCTGTAGGGTACTCAGAAAATCTAGGATGCTAATGAATTCACAACTTGGAAGGCAAAAAAGAGGAAACATATTTGGGTTTTGAATTTCATTAATCTTCAGCCCAGAGTTGGGTGAAATGGCAAGTAGATGTGCTGGACACACCCACGCAGGAAAGAACTGTGCTACTTAGGTCCCCACCTCCATCTATATTTCTTTTGTCTATGTACATTAAGGAAGCACAGTAGCTCCACATGATAAGCATTGGACTGTGAACCACAAGGTCTGTGGTTTGTGGCGGCTAGCTGCTCCATGGGAGAAATATGCAGCTTTCTGCTCCCACAAAGATTTAAAACCGCAGAAACCCTATGAGTTGATAGAACTTAACAACAACAACATGTACATTAAGCCTTGCATAAGAAGAGGTGGTTTTTATTTTCTTATTCTTCTCCCCTGCTTAGTTACATTTTCACATAGATGGGAATAGATGCCCTACTCTCTTTTGAAAATCTAACATCATCTCATTAGGATTTCTAGAATAGTACAAAATAAAAAATACCACCACAAGAACAGAAAGTAAATTAGTACCCTATATTAAAAGTAGCTGAATGTGATACTTGATACTTACTTCTTCTATTGTTATATTTGTCACACCAGAATATATGGCATTGTCTGTGACCTTGAAATGACTTATTCTGATTAATCTATAACTCAAGGCAGTCAACATGGAGCCATATTGCCATGATCCGGAATTAAAAACTCATGTACATATTTCTAGTTTTCAGTTAATTTGTATCATTTCCTCAATTAAAAATATATTTCTTGGATTTCCAAAATTTCTCTAAAGGATTTTTTTAAAGTGCCATTTCTCAAACACACTTGAACATATACATTTTAAGAACATGTTAATATCAAGTTTATTGACATTTTCATTAGACAATAACTTGGTACAACAGAATTTACAAATGTAATGTTAAACTGTTCAAAGAACAGGACTTGTATGCTTTGTATGGCACTTACTAATAGGCAAATTCTTCACAATGGGAATGGAAAGGGTAGACATGCTACCTAGGACTAGACCTTGAAGATGAAAAGTTCTAATTCCGGGCTCCCCAAGCACAGGATCGTATCTGTGACCTCACAGAAGTCCCTTGACTTCACTGAATTTCAGTGCTTTTAAAAACAAAGATTTGATAACATTTGCCAATTATTTTAGAAAGTTATGTAAAGAACCCAGCTAAATTACTGCTCCAAACATTCCAAAGCAGCACCCTCACTGACTCTCCACCGTGACTATATATCTCCTGTACCTAGGATAGTAATGGGCACACAGTGGACACTCAGTAAGGACTGTTACATGAATGAATATAAGTCCACTGGCTCTGCAGTCACAAAGACTTAAGAACAGAACATTCACAATCTGTGTGCACATTTTCTTTTTACGTTAAAATTTTTCGAGTTAAATTCATTTAAATTAACCATTTAAAAATATTCAGTTCAACGGCACATTGGTTTTTTATCACAGTTTCTTCCTTCTGTCCTGATGTCCTAAGATTCCTTATCATTTCCTCTCTAGATAAAATTTCCTTTAGACATTCTTTTAGGCTAGGCCTGCTGCCAACAAATTCTTTTAGCTTTCCTTAATCTGAAAGAAGTTCAAGGTGCACTGAAGGAATTGACAAAGAACAAGGCACCAGGAGTTGATGCAATACAAA